GTGCACAGTTTAGGAACCACTGTCTTGTGCAAAGGTTAAAGGTCAGAACAGACAATCTGAAAAACAGCAATTTTGAACTGACAGAAAATTGCATGTGTTCTGTTCATTCTTTTGAATTGTGTTTTTCCTTACCCGCATTGTAAACAGAAATTAGGGCTGTGAAGTAAAATCAAAGTGCACAAAGTTGTGATTTCTGATGCTGTACTTTGTAATGCCATCTAAAGCCAAGTCTATCCGTTTATCATGTAACGGCTTAATTAGGTTTAATATAATTAGTTGTATCTTTAAAAATCCTGCATTCCTAAGGGGTGTGGATTAGGAATGCACAAAATGGCTGTTTTTATAAGCCACACTGTTATATGAAGATATCCTTTCATTTGGAAGTATTTCTTGGCACTGGAGCTCAATGAGGACGTTTAAAACGTTTTGTATATTATTTAAAGTCACTTCTGCTAAGAAATGGAAGAACACCCACCTGAACTTATGAAATCAAACTTTGTTCTCAGAGGCATCGATGTAACCTAAGACAGAATTTACCCATTCCTTATAAAGTTACTATAAACAGCATTTGTTGACACAATAAGGTCTGTGACTATACAAGCCTTGCTAAGTTACAACATGTACTGTTAGTACACTACACCTTTTAAGCATACTAACATTTGTTTGTTTAAAACAGTGTTATTTGGTTAATAAAACATTGACGATTGATATACAATGAAGTTGAAACCAATGCTTTTAATTTTTATTTTCAGGTCTGAAGTAGAGAGTACAAGCTCGTGTATGCTTTCTTATCAGTATTACATGGCTGAAAGCTGGCAGCTGTTCACATGCCATATTAATAAATATGCCCAAATCGTAAAGCTTTAACTGTATTTGCACATTCCTTTTATTACTAGACTGTTTTATTCATGTTGGCACAGATAATCCATGCAAGGTAGTTACTCACACTTCATAAACCACACTACATTCTGTTTCTGAAATAACTAGGAACTTAAAGAATATGTATCTAAAAGCAAGGGCACTTGTGGCATCAAGTCAACATGTCAATATATTATAAAACCTAGATTTCTAATATGGTCACTGCAGGCAACAAATCACTCTGTTTCAAATTCTGATGTTTATAAATACTAAACAAATTAATATCTGCTACCAGGAGACAAATATTGCAAATAAACATTAGCGTGCCCAGCATTAGACACTAATAAGTGTGTTCAGTGCTGTGGACATTCACATTATTAAACATAAATACAAATAATCTTTAACAAAACATTTCACCCAAAGTACGGACCGCTGAAGGACCAAAGTAAAATATTTTTCCTTGTTTTGAATTGATTTTAGAAATGTATAATGTGTAAATCCAATATAGTAAAAACTAACTTCTAGAAAAAGAAGTCATAAGAGTGGTTTTTTTTTTTTCCAGATAATAAAAGCAGTTGTCTTCAGAAACATTTAATTTACCCTGTTCTGCAAAAAGAACAGAGAAAGAGAAAAAGCATTAAGATAATTTTTGAAGCCTTTGACTGCAAAGTTATTGAACACTTTTTAATTAGATAAAAGACTGGTCTTTTTATTTGATCATTCAGAGGTACTGTATCTTTCTTTTATTATCTAAAACCCCACGTTAATTAGAATGAAAAGAAATATTTAGAGGAACTTCAGACTTGTCCCAGGCATCTATTACAAGACATAAAACATAAACAAGTACAAATTATTCACCTTGCATATTTTTGTACAGCGTTTATGTTCAGTGATAGTTGAAGGGCCCTATTCTGAATTTTTTTTATATATATATGTATATGCATCTTTCCCCCCTCCATATCACAAAGGTGACATGTGGCAGAAGAGTATCAGCAGTTAAGTGGTATTCTACCCGTGACAGTGAAAATACTACATTATTATTCACAAATTTCTGGTTCAGATATGTGCAAAAATTATATCTTAATATAGATATCAAGGGCAGGTAAGTGGATTCCCTATTTTTGGACCACATTATGAAGCAGCACAAGTCAAAACAGGAAATTTATTACACGATAATCCTCAGGGTATCTCTGTTCTTCATTCAGAGATATCACTGTACCTTATATAGTGATATGTAAACTAGCTTTAATCTCACTTGCTCAGACACCAGCTGGAGTCAGGGCATGTGTTACAGTGCAGGTTATCTGTCCAAGGAAATTTTCAGGACTCTCTCAAGTTAGTACGGCTCCCACTGAAAAGGAAAATTTCAGGACTCTCTCAAGCTAGTATGGCTGAAGTCGTGTGCTGCTGCATTTTCACTGTTGCCACTCCGCAAGCTATGCTCACATACATTGCATTCACCTTTCTGCAGTACTGACTTCAAATTTACTAGATTGAATCCTGGACCCCTTGCTCACCCCTCCTATACATAGCCATACTATCTCTCTAGACTATTGTGAGCACCTTGTATCCTAATTTCTTGCTTCAAGCCCTTTCCCTGACTGTAGTGAGTCATCCTGGCTATTCCCCCCCTTCCTCCCTCTGCCCCACCCCAGCTAACATGTCAATTTAGTGAAACTGGCCTTACCTAGCTATTCCCCCTCCTCCAACCCCACCCTCCGTAAGGGCTTCCCACCTCCTCGATGCCTCATCTTTTCACACTCAACCAGAGGCCCCAGAGCCCCTATATTCTGGCTGCCGCTGGTGCTCTCCCTTCTCTGATCCAAGCCTCCCTTCCCCTGCCCACACTGAGACCCCTGTCTCCCACACCCCTGCCCACCCCAGCAACTCGCAGGCTGACCTGGGCCACTCCAGCTGGCAACCCAGGCTCCCTGTGAACATGAAGAAGAGACAGCCCCAACCGTGCCGCCTACGGCCCTCTCTGCACAGACCGTGCCCCTGCCTAAGCTGCAGCCCTCCATCTCTGACCATCTCCTAAAATGCGTTGTCCTTCACACTGCCAGTGAGGAGGGAGCTTTTAGGGAATTGAGGGGGAAGGTGGAGAAGGAGACACACACATATACACACATGCAGAGTAGAGGCAAAAGCCCTCATGAAATTCTCCTGAGGCATCACAAGCCCTAGCGTTTTGTGTTCTCCCAAGGAATCTGACTCCCTGTTTTGATTGTTGATAGTAAGAGACTAGTCCCAGTCAGTGGGTAACACAGAAATCTGCCTAAAGATCTGCATCTTCAATGCAGTCTTAGTATATAATAAGCTGATAAGAATTCTCTTAAATAACAGAGAATAATAAACACCATTTTGTTGAATGACATTCAAAAATTAAAAGGAAATCTAGAATTGTCTCACTGTTATGAAAACGTATTTAGTGAAGTCAAATATGAGTGAAAAAATATTTAACTTCCATGATTACAATTTATTCCTCTAGAGAATACTATGAGCCAGATCTTTGTATTTTGTGATCAATGGAACCATATTCACACCAGCCCAGCACTGACTGAAAACAGAAAATTTGTTTGCTATAGAAAAAAACCCACTTTGCATATAATGTACTAGTGTTTTAGAATAATTCATGCATACAAAAATCTGACCCTGTAGCACTCAGATCAGACCACTGCTAAGATCAGTGAGAACTAAGATACCTACTGAATAAATACAGGTCATAAATGTCAAAACCACCACAGGCAGTTCAGGTTGTTATTTTTGCCCAAGATGCAGACTGCCTGCAGCTAACTTAACTCTCATATTAGAACTCCAAATTTCTTTTATTCTTCCTCCAAGCTTCGGGTAGTTTTTCATCCCTGAAAAGACACAATCATTTCTTAAAATGGGCATTACCCATAGGAGGGAAAAGGCAGACAATTGCTATGTCATTCCTTGTTACTCAAAACACAAGGTAAAGCAGAGTGCAGATGGCACCAGAATGTGGCCCACATGAATCCTCAGCCTCAGAAATTCAAAAGTGTCAGTACTGCAAGCTGTCAACACACGCATCATAATTCTCGCTTAAACACACTAATAAAACTTGAATAGTGATCAGACTTTCAATTTAGCGCCATTTTCTATCAGGCAGAACGGCTGTCTCCAATAGAAAAGTCATTCATATTTAAAATTAAAAATTCAAAAGTATTATCAGTACTGCAAGTATTGCTCTTTTGAAAAAAAAAAAGTTTTATAAATAACTGTTTGAACAACTTGAAAGTTGTTCTTAAAATATGAGAAAAGATCACTGTATGGTTCTCCTAATTGTCAGAGCCTATCTACAGTTTTACAATGGCAGATACTACTACAATTCAGGATGTGCTGCATTTAAACTAACAAAAGTAACAAAGAGTATGTGCCTGTGGTGTTATGTTACCTTATGAATTTTTAGTCAATGTTAATTTACTATAGGGGAAAAAAAAAAGATGCCCTTTTCCTAAATATGTGGGATAGAGTAGGGAACTTTTGCAAGCTATATCCTACTTCCTAGCTGTGCTAGTGGATGTGCGTCTTCTGTGTTCATCAAGTGAAGGTCCAGATGTAGATTCCTACCTCCCACTGATACCAATGGGAATTAGAAACCAAAACAACTTTGAGTATTTTTTTTTCCACAAGAGGAAAGGAAAACCAGTTTCGAATTAAAAGCTGGCCTTTCCAGACAGCTCTATCCCATTCAATGTAACAGCAATTTGAGAAAGCCAGTTGTCCTTTTCCATTGTGATTTGAAAGTGAACTAATCTATTGTGCATGTATAAGGCAAGTGCACTAGCAAGGTTGACCTGACATGCTTTGCTCAGTCTTACTGGGTTATGGAAGGAGTTAATTCTGTTTCCACTTTATTTTCAAACTAAGTTATGGATCATCTCCTAAGCCTTCCCAGCTACACATGGATTCAAGGCAGACTTCTTATTTGGAAAAAATCTAAAATATTTGATGCTATAAGGTAGCACCACAACAGAATGGAATAGCACTCACTTTCCATAGAGGAAACCCTAATCTATTTATTTCCCTTTGAAAGCTATGGCCTTTGGTTCTACACATTATTGTACATGTGGCACTTATTCATTCTTGTTATGAAAGAAAATGACTTATTACAAAAGGACTTTTCCAGTTGCTCTTAAACACTAGTGTGTGGTCTAAGCAGTAAAACTGCTGTGGGTAGTTCATTTGAAACTGTATTTGTGCATTGCTTTTTATATTACAGTTTTTAGTTAATTTCAATATTTCCCCCAACTGTTGCTCTAATAATGGGCTAGTTCATTCAGTAGGTTTTTGTATGAGCCTTGCAAAAGCATGTTCTGCCTTTATGACAGAGGTTAAGCTTCAGAAGTATCAACTTCTTAGCTTTTACCAAAAGAAATGCTAGCCATGGTTATCAACTTTATAATTGCCCAGTTAGTCATCTGTTCTTCCCCAGCATTACTGACTACCAGCTCTTCTTTTAAATATTGATGGCATGGGCATGTTTCTTGCACAGTGGCTTATCCTTCTTGGAGTAGAATGGCTGACCTTCCAAATTCACATGGCATACCTAGAATTAATAATAAATACAATCAGGAATCGTTAAAAAAAAAAAAAAAGAGAGAGAGAAAGATGTGATTATCAATTTCAACTGCATTTCTCTTCTGCCACACATTTCTTTGACAGAAGTGCATCTGATTTCCTGGATCAAAGCATATGCCTTGGTAGTTTTCCTACTCTGTGTTGAGGTTAGGCTCTGGTTTGCATCAGCTTTCCCCTCAGTACTTTCCTGCCACCACTACCCACTAAGTTCACTAGTTTCCATTAAAATGAAGTCTGGGTACACAATCCCCTACACAGCTTCAGCATGTCCCAGCAGTGCTTGTGTAGACCGTCAAAAGGATAGTGGCACACTCGAGCACATGCAGCTAGCTCAGACTTTTAAGACCTAGATTCTCATCCTTGTAACGTATGATTTTACAAAAGCTCTGATTAGATGCCATGGTCCCAGGGGTACCATCCTGCCATAGTACTATTAGATACTCATTCCTATTAGTACTTTGTCTTGGTACAGGTGCTTATGTGATCAAGGAGTGAGTCATTCAGACAGCCGGTATTGTTGAAAACTAATTACTTATTCTTACCAGGTTATTCTTCAACCCATAGAGTTCTCTGCCTGTCTGCGTAAGTGCCGGTGTTGACATAACAAAGCACGCGAGAGTGCATGGCCAAGGTAGGGCAGCCCAGGTTTAGATCAGCTTAAACTGCTCTGGAATTGTACACATATCTACACGGGGTAGTGCAACACCACTTGCAAGGTCGGAGTTGACTAGAACCACTTAAGGAAGTCAACACATCAGGATCTAGGAATAAACATTGTCCCTAATGCTTATAGCAGGCTTAAGACGAGTGAGTGACAACATCAGTGATGTGCTACTGCAAGTGGAAGGAAAATCACGTGAAAGGCTTTGAGGATAGCATATTAGTAATTGAGTCACGGGTTTATTTGCGTTTGACTTAACCCACTGAAAGAAATAAAGTTAGCTCGTAACAAAAAATGCTGTGAGAACTGCATTAACAAAACTGTCACCTCCACAGAATATGGGGTTGATAATCTAAATAAATACATAAGAATGCAGCTAAATGAACAAGTAAAAAAGAACATGGAATATTTAGAGAAAGTGTCTTTTGTAAGTGACTAATAGCTGTTAGTTTGTGAAGGAAACTTGCTGTCTTAGTATTTCTGTGTTAGAATTTCAAAAAGACTTCAATTTTCACAGGATGCTTTTGCGTCACTGACTTCCATGTACCCTTGAAAGACCAGTAGCTAGTTTAGCTTTAGATACTTATTAACATTTCTATATTTTCTACTCTTCAACCTAAATTTTAGAGTTCAACAAACATTAGAAATTGTCACTGTTGTTTTTGGTGTGGCCAACATACTATTTTTAGCTAATTAGAGGTTCTAGATATTATTACCTTAGGAATAATACGTTGTAGAGCAGCATAGCTGTATTAGAACCATATGAAAAATACTGTTTATCATATGGATTTTAGTACTTTGTGAGCAGCATGTGGGAATATGGCCACACCATATAGCTGTATGCACACCACAGATTGATGAGTTTGACCAACTTTTATGCTAATTACTATTCATTCTCTCTAAACAGACTCCTTTTTGCAAGTTTCAACAAGCATTCTGCATGGAAATACAAACTGCGCTGCTTTGTAAGTAAGATTACAGCTATACTGTTCAGAATGGTGTTAATTTATTTTAAATCCTACTTTATCTGGTAAACACTGGAAAGAATAACAGCAATAGTGCTATGTATTACTGTATGTACTCTCCAAAACTGGATGTTTTATTAGAAAACACTCGCTTGTGATGGTCAAATTTAGTGATTCTAGTAAAAGTTTACAGAGGAGAAGAGAAATTACTCCCATCCTTCTCCATCTGCAAGTAAAAAATTGAATTCAATCCCTCTGCATCCTTAGGCATCTGTTAGTCATTCCTGCTTTCAGGCCCTCTGACATTACTTTACAATTTATGAGTATAAAGAAATGAGATAGTATTTGTTATAGAACCTACAGCACAAATGAAGCAGGTATCATGCCAAGTGTGTCCAAGAGCTTCAATGAATTTATCTCCAGCTTCAACAGGAAAATCACAGCCATGGCATTTTGTGCTGAACAAAGCAATGTAATCTAAAATAAAACAAAAAGCAAACTTAGAACAAACTCTTAATGTTATCCTACTAAATCCAAGAGAAATAGAAAGTTTCCAGAGGATGAATTTTTTTATTGTTTTTGCTCAGAATTTCCTACTACAGTCACTGAAACTTGCTTCTTTTCTTTCATTATTTAAATATAAACTCAGTGCAAAACCCCACGTCAGCATGACAGTCGTCATCACCAACATCGAAAACAAACAAAAAATTAATGACATTTGAAGTTATGTTTCTCATATTAGTTTTAAATTAGCTTTAATGTATGTGGAAGCTATTCATAAGGGCAAATATGGTCGTACAAAACACAATCTAATGGCCTGTGAGTGTTACCTTAAGGGTGGTATAGAAGCACAGTTTAAGTTTCCATGACTGGATTTATGTTCTCTCTGCATTAAGAGAGAATATTATGGTAACCCCATACTGGCTGGTTAATACATCTTTACTTTGAATATCAAGTGCAATCTGGAAAGACTTGACATTGAAAAAGATTAGCAGAAATTCTAAAGGTATATGGAATTTGTAAGAGTCATTAGAGGTTATGGAAAAACCTCCAGTTTTAAAGGGTAGGTGCCAAGTCAGTCATGCTGTATGGTTTTCATTCTTCACTAAGCGTTACTCTGATTTGTAAAATTTGATTTGCGCAACCATAAGGAAGGAATCTCCAGAGAGAAGTAGGCTAGAAGCTCGTTAAATGGAAAAGGCAGGGCTTACAGAGGGGATACCACTTAAACCTTAACCTGCTTCCTGACCATGTCAGGCAACTCATTTGGATGGCAAATACCATTTATTAAACCCTATTACCCTTTCCATTGTTTAGGAAAACCTGCCTTTTCCTTTCTTAGTTGGCAAGAAGCAGTTCATTTGTTGCAGCACTCGGAAAATAAAATCTGCACTACCATGTGTTGCACATCTGAGCAGAGCTATCTTTTCATATATGTTGGTTGATCAGTTTTAGGGTGAGGTAGCATTATCAGAGGTCATAATTCAAGCAGCTCTCAAAGTAGAGAGAATGTGGGCAGCAACCCACACGTACTGTATAGAAGTGCTACCAGAACCCTAAAAGAAGAATTTTTCACCCCATAACATGTAGATTTTTAGTGAGCAGAATCTACCAGGGAAGGGAGTGGAACAGGATAAAAAGCGTAGGGAGGGAAATGAGGTAAGGCATTCTGGAACATAGAGGCAAAAGACCAGCACTCTGCCAGTGTATCATATAAAGTGGAGAAAAATACAGAGAGGGAAACATATGTATATGCGGAGAGTGGAAACAAAGTCCATGCTGGATGGGTAACTGATTGTATTTTGTTCGTCAGCTGCTTTATTCTTACGTTGCTTCCATAGAACATGAAGCACATGATTACTGAGCAGAACTGTCTGGTTTGCCATACCTTTCTCACAGTAAGGTTCCCCATCCTCCATGTGAAAGAGGCTATTGCCAAATGGCTTCTTACAAGCAGCACAGACAAAGCAACTTGTGTGCCAAGTCTGTCTTAGGGCATGCATCACTTCCTGTAAAACAAACAAACAAACAAAAATCTCCAGCAGAATAGCATGGCCTGCAACTACCTACTGGAGAAAAATACACGGCAGAGATGCTCTAAATTTTTCCCTCTGTATCAGCCAATTCCCCTCCTCAAAAGAAAGAAGTGTGACAGAAATTGGGCTCCTTTGGAAAGAAAGAGGAAACAGGACTGCAAACTTTCTAGAACAATGTATTTGCCAAAATGAAACAACATAGTTCAGCCAGCTGTTTGTATCAACATGCCCAGTCACTGTTGCAGGAGAGATTCTGCACAAAGATTCTGATTATTTTCTCTTTTGTTTTGACACGACTAGTATGAATTCTTCAATGCAAGAGTATGATTTTTTAAATAAATTTTAAAGAGTCATTTTCTCTCTACGACCAAGAAATGCACGCAGGGGGTGAGTGACTTAAGTCTGATGTTTCAAAGCAATTTAGATTATGTACTTTCTTCAAGCTTCTCACAAGAACATTTCACAAACTAATGTGAAAATCTAAAAAAAAAAAAAAGGTTCTTAGATTTTAACTTATGTGATTAGTGAAAATGAGTCTGTGTGTCTGTTCCTAGGCCATGTGTTCATCACAAAAAAAAAAATTCTGTGCCGCTGATGTTCTCTTGAACTTAGTATCCAGATTTTATCAGATTCTTTCTTCTATCCAGTATGGAGCAATCTCTATTACTCTATTACTGCTTCATTCTTATCTTGTCATACAGAAGTCCTCCAAGTCCAAAAGCTGCCGTGCTGAGCTCTGATGCACGGTTACCTACTAATTTGTCAATCTTACTTTTGCCCAAGACAACGTTCGACAGTGTATCTCTGTCAAACAGTCCACATTTCAAAGGGCCAGCTGCATAACTGGTGTAAATTAATTTAACTTTGTTAACTTCAGTGAAACAGGATTGATTTACACCAGCTGAGAATCTAGAGCCTATTTTATGTTGCTTCCAGTAATATACGTAGACTCTGATTCTCTTAAAGTTTATTTTTAGTCTCCATTGACTATGACAAAAGGGATTGAAGTCCTCTTCCATGCTTTCAATCCAGGGAATAGACAAAATAGTCTAATTTATGTTTGCCATATATCTCATTAGAGAATCACCATTTGAGATTCATTAACTTCAGTTACTGTTTACAAATCAACTGTCCCTGATAAATAGGTTTGGATCCATTTATGAACCTCACTGAGCTAAGAAGCAAAAAACAGACTGAGAAATCTTATTAATATAAATAGAGGCAGCTGGCATCTTTGCTATTTTCCTGATGAAAATCCATAATGGGGAACTGATTTGTGCCAGCATTAATTAGGTAAGTTAAGTCAGTACTCTGCTGTAAAATTACTCCTATTCCCGCAGTAGCAAGCAAGACTTGGTTGGAGCCAGAGCTTCACCATAGATGTCTGACGCTGCCATCCCTAACTGGCAACTGCAGAGAAAAGCACCTAGTCTGTCAATTGCAGCATTTAGACAGATGTCAAAAGGTGACAGCTAAGCAGTGGAAAACCAGTGCGGTACTCATTGCTTCCCCATTCATTTAAGAGAATCATGTCATATTTTCACGATAGCTGCATGCATACATACACTGCTAAACTTATGGTATTCCAACCTCATCACCATCTAAGGTATATGTAGAGCAAATTTACTTGTACCTAAGCACGAGTATATTAAGACAGAAGTGGCATCTATTTTTGCCTTTCTGGAATTCAGATCTTTGTATGCACTCTGTATTTTCCTAACTATAAGAAGTCAGCAGAATTCCTCTAGGCAGCTGTGTTGCTAGCTACAAGTGAGGTGCAGCAAGAACAATGGGCGTCTTCCCAAGATCACTGACTTCCCCATTGAAATTTAGACTAAGTGCTGTATCAGAAAAAAACCCAGTTCTCGACTCTTACTAGAAGTATAAGGAAAAGATAGATAAAATAACATAGTGTGTATCGGATCGCAAAGAACTCTCCAGAAAGTGTTACTTACTTTACACTGAGATGGTAATTAGATTACATATTCTCTCTATGAGTTGAATAAGGTACAGAAATACCCAAGATTTTGGAAAGATAAAAATTATTATAAAATAATATGTTTCTCATTCTGAAATAATCAACAGGCTGGGAATTCATTATTAAAAAGGGGGAAATAATTAAATATCTACATTCATTGCTTACAGTCTAAACTATCTCACTATTTCAGTGAACCACACAGTTGGAGAAAGGGTTAAGCTTGTTCTCTTACCCCCATGATCTTAGTGTGGCATCGGGCACAGGTTGGTGCAAAGAACTGTTCGTAACAGCGCTCACAGTACACACTATTCTGCTCTTCCACAAAGCACATATCAGCCAAGGATGTTTTGCAATAAGCACAATTGAATTCTTCTGGGTGCCAAGAGCGACCCATGGCTACCAGGAAAGGACCCCTGTAAAACAATCACAATTATCTTATTTGTATTGCAGGAAGATGAATGACCCTGATTACAAACCCACTTTGTTAGACACCGCATACATGTATAACAAGCATTCTGCTTGAACCGTGAAGGGGCATATTAAAATGAGATCCAGAAGCCTGAACAGAAATGGTCCTTTTCAAGATCATTACTCAAACACTTTGCCAACTGGTTAAAATATTTCGTTATGTTTAGTCATATACATTGGAATTACAGACTGTTGGAAAAATCATCAATTGTTTTCATATCTTCATAGCTATAAGTGGTCTTTGTAAACAGCTGCAAAGACAACAGGAAAAGGCCAAGGGTTGTAACACAGAAGGTAATGCTACTATTTGAAAGCATGAAAAAGCAGGCAAATTTCCAAACCTACACACCCACACCTCACAATAGCTCCTAAAGTCTCCTGCCTTCTTTTCATCTGAGAGAGCACTGCATGCAGCATGTTCTAGAAATGTCAGACTATCAGATGACAACTTGCCGTTTGATTACATGGAAGACACATTAAATTCATTTTGGTGATTTACTCTTGATTTTAATTACATATAGTGATTATTACTGGAGTCTTCCCATTTCAGAATCCGTAAAGGGCAATAATCGACAATTCCACATCACCAAACTAGCTCCTTTTAGTGGGGGAGACTGTCATTAAACATGGATTACCTAAAGTTGGTTAGCAGTCCACAGGGTAACAACGGGCACCGGTCCAGCAGAATGAATTGGGAGAGGAGAAGGGAGAGGCATGCTATGAATCACTGGTAATAGAGTGTAGGCATTATCTTTCTCCAGACACAAAAGCAACAATTACATTTGGCTGCTGTTCCAAAATGATGCCTCGTTCCTTTTCTCTCCATAATCCTCCCCCCCCACCCCCCAACTCCCCCAATGAAGTTGCGCGTACCTCCTTCAAGGGGTACCGTAGGACCAGAAACTTGTTTAAAAAACAAACAGTGATTTGCCACAGCATCCATGAAACAAACAATTAGCATGTATAACTTTCCAGTGATAAAAAGTGAACCACACAATAGCAAAATGAGCTCTGGAAATGTTAAATTAATGAAGCAGACAACAGACATCCCTGCTGGGTAATCTAACTGAGTCTTGGGCTCTAGTACTGTATATTAACGTACAATAACCCGTCTCTCTGATTTTTTTTTTCTGCTTCATCCCTCTTCAAAACCTCATGACCTTACCGAATTATGCTGTTACAGTGCCCACAGAGAGGAGTTCGGCTGCTGGCTGGAAAACGCTCAGCCCTCTGAACTGTTCCCCGGGCTATTGCAGGAGGCTGGGAAGAAGTTGACACTGGAGATCGGTAAGCAGAAGTTGAGGCAGGAGATGGTACTGGAGCACCCCTTGGTAGGATGTGCTTTGTGACAGTGGTGGTGGTTTTTCCGGGTGCAAATTTCTGGGAAAAGGCGTCATCCGTTACCCAGGGAGGGCGACTTGCAGGCTCAGTGTTGGCAGGGGTGTAGGAATGAACGGGTGCTGGTGCTGTGTGAAGTATCCCAAAAGAAACCAAGAAGTATTTTAAAGTCTTTCCTTCTGACGGCAAAACACCAACACTTACCAAAGGGTACTGCATAACACACACAAAATGAAAGTTTCAAATGACACTTAATTACGGTCTGTCCCATTATTGCTCATTAATTCTGGATTAAAGCCAAGGATATCAGCACAATCACTGACTTTTAATCCATATGCATTACAGAAGTCATTGCCTACTGGCTTTTACTGATTTTATGGAGACCATTTTCAAGGGCACTTCTTCATTTTCTAGTAGGAACGGATATGATGATTCTGTGATAAATTCAAAGCCTGCCATATAATCTGTTTAAGACAGGTTAAAAATAGAAAGGCCACATCATGTAATAATGTTTTAGATGGAACTCCCCATAATTTCAATAAGAAGTTATGCTTAAATTTTGATCTCATTATATTCATTAAAATGCAGATGTCACTGCTATCTATCATTTGTAGGTTTTACTCCTAGGTTTCTGAAGAAAAACAGGCTCACCCAGGGAACACAGAGATAGAGCGCACTGGAAGCAATAGCGAGGGAGCCAGTTCAGCTCACATGACCAGCAAGACAAAGCCAACAGCACTTAGAGGAAGGCCAGACTTGCGGTTATGACTGATCTCAGTTCAGTTCTTGGCTCTGCCACAGACTTCCCGTATAACTTCGAGCAAAGCGTAGTATCTCTGTGCCTCAGTTCCCATGTATAAACCAGAAATATTTTACATCCTTTCTTCCACCCTTTGACTATTACATAAAATCTTCAGTTCAGGCTGCCTCTGTGTTTGTATGCATCAGGCTCTAATCTTGGGTGGAGCTTTATCACATAAAAATAAGCAGAAGCTAGAGCCTGCACACACCAACAAGTTTTCCCGTTGCCCTGCTCTTTTCAAAACGTCAGATCTTGCATTGTGTAGGACTGAAGTCACTGCCCAAGAAACTGCCTCACTTTGCCAAGTACAGGAGCACTAAAAGCAGTTTTTCCTTTGCAAGGAAAACAAAGAAGTGAATGATTGTTGGTTTGTGTGAGGAGGAACAGAGTCTTGGAGAGTTGAAGTGTTTTGCCCAAATGAGAGAGCACAGATTTGGGAACGTAAGTCAGTTCTCCTGCAGTCTAGGCAAACATTCTGGGTAGTAGATCCTAGTGCCAGTAAAATGATGACCAAATACAACGTCTACAGTTTTAAGGGGCTTGCAGGGAGAAAGGTATTTCAACCAAGAAGAGGGTTCCAAATGTAACGTATCTTTCTGGATAATTAAGTGGTGAGAAGATTATGTTCTACTTAACACTCCTCCCTTAGCCCACACCCTGCCATATAGAGTAACACAGACTGATTACTGGCAATTGCAGGTGCTTAAATTGCATATGTATCAATCCACTGTGATCACCTGGTGATCTCTGGTTTTCTTCTTTTTATTAACTTCAGGGCTGAATCTAATGCATCTTCTTGATAAAACTTTCTTATGCTACAGCATCAACAAAGTTTCTGCTTCATAAAACTATCCCACCTTAGCTTGAGGCATCTTCTTTTTTTTTTTTTTTAACTTGGGAATGGTAAACAGTGTTTAAAGATTTCAGAACAGAGAGTTTATATGCAATCTCTTTAAACCCTGGGGCTGTTGCTATTTATGTATTACGGTATTAAGCTAGGCAAAATTAGAAGGCAATATTTCATCTCTAATTGGTGAGTTCAAAAGGCTCCCACCTATGAGGCTCTCTAATTAAATAAGGTGACTTCTAGCTCACTCAGTTTTCTGAAAGGATTCTCCCTCCCCCAAGAGCCAGCAATTGTTCATGCAAAGTACGGCAGTGTATCCCACAGAGGGCCTAACAAAATGGTCAGGTATTCAAACCCAGAGTTCCAGAAGAGAAGAACAAATGCAGTCCAGGTACCAGTCTTAGGATGGCTTTTTCTATGATTGCCTTTAACAAATTCAGCTTACAACCTCTTAATTTTTCACTTTTTCTTCCTTAATCTCACAATCTTGGGGTTTTATTTTGCCGGTTTGTTTATTCCAATCAATGTAGGCAGCACGTGATTTATCTGGGTTCAGAATAATCTAGACTCCTTTGAAGGATAAACACTGGGGAAGGGTCTTTGTCTTTCATTCTCTCTACCTTCTATTTCTTTTTACTCTATCTATCTTTTCTACTTGCCATGGTAACATAAAGCAGCAAAGTAAATTTTTTTTCCAGTTGCTGAAAGAAGATACCAGGGGAATTATTGCAAAATGACAAACGTTGGACGTTCACAACAGCTTAGAGTTCTCTTTTCAGCCATTATAATTTAAATTTTACAGGCTGGATTTATTACAACATATTTTCCCCCTGTGAATAGGCTAGAATTACTACCCATCTAAAATAGCGTCATTGCAGCATATTAGAAAGGTTTCACTAATTTTGAGATTTTAGCTATTGTTATTAAGAGGGAATTATCTTATAGCTATATTCTTAAACTTATACGAACAACTTTCTTGTCTTAGTAGCTACTGCCACACAAATTCACCTTGCATGTTTATGTATTTCAAAGTCTTCCAACATATATGCAGCAGATAAAAGGTGCTGTTTGCTGGTGAAAAGTAGTAAGATTCAGTATCTCAGAGAACAGATTCTCAAAATATCAGTACCGTTTGAGCTGACACTTAACTGTTCAAAAATGAATACTTCAAATAATTCAGTAACCCAGCCTCTATCACCTTGTTTCTCTCAGCCCTAGGACTCTCTTATAGTAGGAGAGAAAGAATAGGACTATTGCTATCCTGTTATCGTTCTTAACAGCCTTAGGAACAAGCCAATTCCTTGCTTCTGGGGAATTTGGAGTTGTCCCTTTCAGCTCTTCATTTATGGTCAATGGATATTTTCCCTCCAGAAAAAAAAAGGCATGTTACCAAAGATTCATTTAATAAAGTAAAGATTCATATAGTCTCAAATGCTAGTCTTGCATACCAGCTCGCACTGTGAGAACAATTTCCTTTTTTTTTTTCCCTTTGTAAGTAGAACACATAATTGTTCTAATCTTAGTAATCATTTTCCAGTAACAAATGGAATAAATTAATAATGACAACTGATTTGGCTTATTCTACTTAGTGGCTGCATCATTGAAGCCCAAAATTTTCCTACATACTGTTCCAGTATATAGTAGATGACAGACAAAGCAGATAATGCAACAAGTCCTTTATAAGACGACACCATTCTTATTTAGAAGAATTGAAAATGAAAGATGGTATGTAACGTGTTGCCTTAGTCTTGAAGGTGCTTAGGATTCAGTGAAAAGTTCATTGAGATCTGTGGGAATCTTTCTACCAATTTCTAAAAGAGCGCTTTTACATACATGAGTAGTCCTATTTGGACTTATGGATTTAAAAGGAAAGATCCACTTTCTTACTTTTAGGTATCATGTTACTTCGTAGTATAAAACTGGCTATTTGGAATATATGAAGGCACTATTCTAGTCTGGGAAAGCCTATAAGAAAGGCATACACAGGTATTTTCCGCCATCTAGTGGACCTTGTTCACGAAAGAAGTCTATGCTCCGTTTAAAAACGGCCTATGAAATTTAGAGGACAGAGAAGGGAAAAGATTATGGAGTTCACAGCTTTCCCTGTAGGAGGAAAACAAAGCAGCAGAAAATTCCCACCAGAGTCAGGTTAGTCAAAGTAGTACTCTTTCTTTGCTTTGAAGTGTAGACTTACTGATTACTCCTATCTGAGCCAGATACTCAACAATGCAGTTTCATTTTGAGATTGGTTTCAGTTTAACCAAATGCAGCCACATTATTCTTTTCATTCTGAGATAGATTGAAATAGTCCTGTAAGCCCTCTTAGTGATTGATTCAAGTTTCTGGATATTGCATATATGAGGCTGTTGGCGGGTGTTTTAATCTGGAAGTTGCTGGCCCACATTTTTAAGGGAAGCAAGTCATCTCATTCCCATTAACACTGAGGGCCAGCATAAAGGCATTCCTCTTCTAAATTCTGCATTGCAAATCCTTACAGTAATCTCCACTATTTCGGCCTTTTCACACAGTGGATTTACAAGAATAGAAGCCTAAGAAATTATTTGCTAAAGTGAGAGTGCAGGAATTGCAAAAGCCTGAGGTTGCACTTAAGATTGGAAGAGAAAGATGGATTTTGTGATCTCATATGTCATCATTTGAGAACAGCTGCTCCTCTCAAATTGAAGCTGCATTTTACACTGCAGGACAGAATTCATATGCATTTACAAAGTTGGGTGAGGAAGTTTTCTAACTGTCTTGATGGTTTGTTTTAAAGTACTATTGATCTTTCCCATCTGTCACAGGAAATGCTGTTTCCTCCATTACTTCCCAAGTGACAATTTCCTGTTTGGTCAGGATTGCTACTGCAACTGCCTCTAGGGCCAGCTCATGTTCCAAAACCAATATGAAGCGCTACTACATCAAATATATAAAACTTTAAAAAAACCCAGATACAGCTACTAATTGGATATAGCTACTAATTTATTTCTGTGGCAGGTTTGTATATTGAGAACTGGAGTTTATACTTCCCCCAAATGAGCATGGGGCTTAGTATCAATCAGTGCATTTAGGAGATATTTTGATTTGCCACAGTTTGTTCTGCATTGTGGAAGTAAATCGTCTGTCTTCATCTTTCCTTTTTTTGCAAGAAAAAAATAATAACATTTGCCTTCAGTGAGAACACGGTATATACTGACACACTTAACCAAAAGCAAATGAGGAGAAGCTGAAACCTTTATTGACTGTGAGACTTAAATAGCTCATCATAGTTCTGAACTGGCTTTTTCCACCTTTATAGCTCAAATACAAAGATCAATCAACTGTTGTGTCTGTCTGCTTTATGTCTAAGCTTGCACCAGTTTCATTTCAGTAGATCCAGAAATAGAACATTACAGAAGACACAGTTTAAGACTGTTAGAATTCTTGGCCTTTTCATTTTTTTACTTGACTATCAAGATATAAATCAACTTTTTAATTCTCTTGCTAAGATCAGAACAAGCTTAATTTGAAACAGAATAGCATTTAGACTTACATTGCTGCCTCATTGAATTTGTTCGTTTTGAAGGTTCACATTTTGGTCATCAATCATTTTAGAAGTTCACTCCATTTGTAACACATTAATACAAAGGGAATTTAAGTAACATCAAGGAGCATATTTTCCACATGAATGAATAATCATAGAATTATAGAATGGTTTGAGTTGGAAGAGATCTTAAAGATCATCTAGTTCCAGCCCCCCTGCCATGGGCAGGGACACCTTCCACTAGACCAGGTCACTCAAAGCCCCATTCACCTGGCCTTGAATGCTTCCAGGGATGGGACATCCACAACTTCTCTGGGCAACCTGTTCCAGTGCTTTACACCAGCCTCACAGTGAAGAATTTCTTCTATATATCTAATCTAAATCTACGCTCTTTCAGTTTAAAGCCATTACCCCTTGTCCTATCACTACATGCCCTTGTAAAAAGTCCCTCTCCATCTTTCTTGTAGGCCCCCTTCAGGTACTGGAAGGCTGCTATAAGGTCTCCCTGGAGCCTTGTCTTCTCCAGGCTGAACAACCCCAACTCCCTCAGCCTGTCTTCATAGGAGCGGTGTTCCAGCCCTTGGATCATCTTCATGGCCCTCCTCTGCACTTGCTCCAATAGGTCCACGTCCTTCTTATGCTGGGGGCCCAAGAGCTGAATGCAGTACTTCAGGTGGGGTCTCATGAGAGCAGAGTAGAGGGGGAGAATCACCTCCCTTGGACCTGCTGGCCACGCTTCTTTTGATGCAGCCCAGGATACGGTTGGCTTTCTGGGCTGCAAGCGCACGTTGCCGGGTCACATTGAGCTTCTCATCAACCAACACCCCCAAGTCCTTCTCTTCAGGGCTGCTCTCAATCCATTCTCCACCCAGCCTGTGTTTGTGCTTGGGAGTCAGGTGCAGGCCCTTGCACTTGGCCTTGTTGAACTTCATGAGATTCACATGGGCTCACCTCTCAAGCCTGTTAAGGTCCCTGTGGATGGCATCCCTTCCCTCCAGCATGTCGACCGCACCACACAGCTTGGTGTCGTCGGCAAACTTGCTGAGGGTGCGCTCAATCCCACTGTCCATGTTGCTGATGAAGATGTGGAACAGTGCCAGTCCCAATACCAACCCCTGAGGAACGCCACTCATCACTGGTCTCCACTTGGACATCGAACTGTTGACTGCAACTCTTTGAGTGTGACCATCCAGCCAAATCCTTATCCTCCAAGTGGTCCATCCATCAAATCTGTGTCTCTCCAATTTAGAGACAAAGATGTCGTGTGGGACAATGTCAAATGCTTTGCACAAGTCCAGGTAGATGACATCAGTTGGTCTTCCCTTATCCACCAATGCTGTAACCCTGTTGTAGAAGGCCACCAAATTTGTCAGGCACAATTTGCCCTTAGTGAAGCCATGTTTGCTGTCACCAATCACCTCCTTGTTTTCAATGTGTTTTTAGGAGGATCTGTTCCATGATCTTGCAGGGCACAGAGGCGAGACTGACTGGCCTGTAATTCCCCAGGTCTTCCTTTTTTCCCCTTTTTAAAAATGGGGGTTATGTTTCCCCTTTTCCAGTCAGTGGGAACTTCACTGGACTGCCACAATTTCTCAAATATGATGGATAGTGGCTTAGCAACTTCATCCGCCAGTTCCCTCAGGACCTGCGGATGCATCTCACCAGGTCCCATGGAATTGTGCACCTTCAGGTTCCTTAGATGGTCTCAAACCTGATCTTCTCCTACAGTGGGTGGTTCTTTGTTCTCCCAGTCCCTGCCTTTGCTTTCTGTGACTTGGGCAGCGTGGCTTGAGCGCTTGCTGGTAAAGACTGAGGCAAACAAGTCATTGAGTACCTCAGCCTTCTCCATATCCTGGGTAACCAGGTCTCCCGTTTCCTTCCAGAGAGGGCCCATATTTTCCCTAGTCTTCCTTTTCTCACCGACATACCTATAGAAGCTTTTCTTGTTGCCCTTGATGTCCCTGGCCAGATTTAATTCTATCAGGGCTTTAGCTTTCCTAACCTGATCCCTGGCTCCTCAGACAATTTCTCTGTGTTCCTCCCAGGCTACCTGTCCTTGCTTCCACCCTCTGTAGGCTGCCTTTTTGTGTTTGAGTTTGTCCAGGAGCTCCATGTTCATAATAATCAAGTATATTCCTTCAGTAATTGGAGCTTTGGGAAGTGGAAGCATAGCGTTACGAAGTATTTTAATAGGTCATTCTTTATTTCAAATATAAGCCTGAGTTTGAGAAGTTCAATACATGGCCTTACCTATTTTGCAAATATATCCTACTCAAGCCAACTTCACTTATTTTATCTCCTTTCCGAGTTGTGCATTCTTAAGCTGTTTATCAATTCTGAAGTGTCATTGGGCTCCTAATTGGGCGTGCTGGGTTATTTTCCAAATCTATTTCTTTAGAAAAGTCAGGCTACACATTTTTTTATTTCAGGTTTTTCCCTTGCTTTTATTCTTCTTCCTCCTTTTGTTCCACATTTTCACTCTGAGGCAGAATACAAATACAACATAATCCTCGATCTTCAGATAATCTGAAGCAAGACTAGCAACTAGCAGCATTTGGTTCCAGGTGTATAAATCTTTCCTGATACATCCGTGTCCTATGGCAAAATGTGCATTCTTTGCATTTTCTTTTTCTAAAAGAAATGCGTGTGAATTTCTTTTCTGAATCCTTTCATTACATTGAAGTCACCTTACCTGGCTGGTAGACAGAGGGCTTTATGCTGGCAGTAGTAACAACTCTTGGTTTTGAAGTAGCAGAAGCAGCAGGACTTTCACCGTAGCTTCCAGAAACTGGCGTTGGTGTATATGACTGGCTTGTGTTTCTAAAAGCAAAATGAAGGTATGAGCAACTTTATAAACAGCAAAAGTTACTGACTGTGAAATAACAGATCTGGCAGCTTCCAAAGCACTCCAAGAGGAACTGTCCTTGAGACCTACAGAGAGAATACTGTGAGATTCATTAGTCTTTATCATTGCTAAGAAAGGCTTCGACAATTCTTTAGAAAGAAAAACTAGCCAAATAAGGATTTTAAATAATGCTAAGTTGCTCTTGTTGTCACAGAAAATAGCTTACCAAAGGAATATGACAAATTTATTAAAAGAACTCTCAGTTTAACAAGGGATCAGGTGTTGGGAACATGCATACAAAGTTTGGGTTTTCTTGCCCCTCTACAAACAAACAGGCCTGTTCTTGTCTAAGATAAATCAATGAGGGATATCTCGTTGGCTTAAAAAGATACTGTCTCAGCCCAGTTGCTACTCCTACTACTACAAATACTAACTACTGTTTATAAGCATTGTACTCTTCAGAACAATTGTGATGACCTTTAAAAAACATTTCTGAAACTAACTCTTTTCCCTGTTTAGATTGAAACCACAATTTATGTTGATTTTTCTAATGTTCAGATTCAGCTAAGCCAAAAGCATGTGATATGCAATATTATGATGCAACTTCTGCGTTCCTAGATTAAAAACATTTGCTCAGGATTCCAAACATCAATAAGAAATCATTTTTCTCTATGGCTCAGATGGTGATTCTCAGTTTGATTATAGTAACACATTGAAATGTATGCCTCTTGGCCTATTACTTAGGATGATTCTATTTGCAGTGACTTTGGTTCTTAGACCACTAAAAGAGCATTACAAACAAAGCAAGCAAGAGAGAATAAAGAAGTACAAGAAAGGGACGCAACGGATACCGAGATGCGTGCAGTAATCAAAACCATTTACTATTGAAGATCATTCTTACTCACCCTGATAACACAGTATTGCTTTCTTTTTCCCTTCAGTTTCACTATCTGTATGAACCAGATCCCTACATATTTGTGCTGACAGTTCAGGAGTTATTTCCATGGTAGCTTTGTCTATAGGAAAACATTTGTCAGCATAAGAAAAGAAGTGTCCAGCTTTGCCAGACCATAAGTCCATCTTGACTTGTACTTTCTTTAATAGCTGAAATAGATGCCATCTGGAGAGAACGTTACAATTTTTACATATGGAAAACCCAGCAAATTCCTTCCAGTACAGGTGAAAAGCATTCTGACAAATGTAAACTTTTGATTTTTAATTTTGAACAAAATAAACCTATCCTCACAACATAGCCTTTTGCTACTCCGATAGTGCTTATACTATAGATCTAGTTTGCACAGCATTGCTGCCTCAGGCTAATTTATTTTGTCTATTTAGTTAGACCTAGAAACATAGCTATTGCTACAATGACTACAGCTATACAGGAATAATTATTTCTGTACCTAGTCTAGGGCTTAGGGCGGGATTTGGGTCCACTATACCACGAGTGAACAGGACTCTCCAAGATAAACTATTTTAGTGGGTTCGTATTCACTGTAAATTCTGTTGTGAACCGTACTGTGATTTTGTAACCACCAAAGCTGTTCTAAGCACAGTAAGACTTTTTACTTTCCATTCTTACCATCTATTTCCTGTTGATACCTCCTCATCTGTAGTACATAAGAACGCACTGTACTTGGGGTCACTGGACAGAGGATCATTGCTCCTACCGTAGCACAGTCAAGAAGATGTACGCTTCAGGTACACTGGCTTCACATACTGATTTCCAAATGCCTTTAGCTAATACACATTGTCAAAAGACTTTTCCTTGGTTTAAGATTGACTATTCAAGGTAAATTAGACAGAAAACCAGTAAAACATACTTACCTTTACAGGATCAGTGATCAATATTTACAATGTGGATTACAAGATTTTAAAACATGTGTCATACAGTCTTAATGTGAAAATGGCATACACTCAGGAAAGTCTACTCCCAGATGCGCAGGTCCATTGGTAGAAAGACTCGTTTGAAGTTCTCAGTGCACAAAATACATAAAGAAGTTCTGAGCCAGATTAGTGATACTTAGACTGTCATGAAGAAAAATGGTTATTCAAAATTCAAGTGTTTCCCAAAGTTAATAGCATGATAAAACCATGCCACTAGACTTCTTTGTATGTTCAGGGAAATGAAGTTGAAAAAAACAAAAACACCACACACAAAAAATTGTATTCATAGTACCAAAATCATGGCAAAATTAAAAGAAGTCAACTACTGAACTCTTTTACAAGTGCATGATGCATATTAAATACATTAAGGAAGATAAAAAGGGTTGTCAAAGAGAAATAAAGTGTTACACTGCATCATTAAAGGTTTTAGTGAAGTTAAAAGATTTATCGGAATTTCTGCCAAAGAAAAGGAAATAGTGTGTGATTAAAAGAAAGAAAAAAAAAAAAGAAAAAAGAAAAAAGAAAGAAAGAATAAAAAGATGTCCCAAGGATCAGAGATGTTTTAATGGACAGGAAGCAATGGCATCTCGAAAAGCAGTGAAAGCGTCCTTACTGAATTTATCTGTAGCAGCCAATGGCATGTGACAGGCAGCAAATTAAATACTGGCTCTGAAAACTATTAGTTGTCAGAAAAAGAAAGAGTAAATATTTCTAAGCATATAATTTTTATGTTAATACTTCACTAGATGCCTACTAGCAGCAATAGACTGTTTTGTTAAGTGCTTTTAAGGTAGAGTAGCTGCACAAAACATTTTTATACCTCTTCTTTGACTGGTAGTTGATGGAGGTGGAAGAATGCCGGTTGAAACTAAAATGAGACAAAAGTTGCATTTGAAAAAAATATACCAAGAAAACTGGGATATCTTGTCCTACAGTGAATTTCCATATGAATAAGAGGTGCTCTTAAGTGCTAAAGTAAACAACATGTACATCTTTATAATCATATAAGATCAGTATTACATTACATTTTACTTATTTAAGCTAGGAATCATGGTGAAACCTGAATAATGGTAACATAAATAAATGAGCTGGAGTATATTGCTCCATAAGTCACTCTCATCCAGTTTTGCTCATTCTTTAGTTGCGGAATTCTAATTCAGCCACTGGACTGTTTGCTTTGACATTCACCATTTATTTGTATTAGCACAGAAAAATAAGTCTGAGTTTCTTTTTGTCACTGTCATAAGCTTAAGTTGCATCAGATCTTAAAAGCAAACCTTGAATGAACCAAAGTCCAAAGATCAGCTAAGTTTCCTAGCTTATGAGGCAACTAGGACAACCCCACAAAAAAGACAGGCTGGAAGTAGTTAAAGCAACGACATCAAGCCATCACGTGCAGCTTTTCCCTTGCAGTACCATTCTACTGTTCGTTTACTAAACAGAGTCTTAGGTAAACAGGTAGATTTTTTTTTTTCTTGGGGAAGCAGCATCATTTCAGAACATAAATGATTCATTTATGTAAATATAGAAAGTACTTAAAAGCCCGCACAATGTATGATCTGAGAAACAAGAGGATTCAGAATGAACACAGCTCCTGTCTAAATGCAGAGCAGTGCAGGGCTACATGGCAACAATCACATCCCACAGGAGCACAGCCCACATCTGCCGGAATTACCAGAAGCATATCATATGCCAGTTACTTTCCCAGCTTCTGGAGAAGAGTTTTTCTTCCCTTTACCACAGCCACAGTGCTTGGATTAAAATCCTAGGATCACAGAAGCTACACCTTCCTTTTAGAACCATGATCGTAACTCTTTCCATCATTTCTCCTGTTCTTGTATTCCCAGAGTGCTGTCTCACTGGTTGCCCTGCTTTTACCCTCCAGATGGAACAACCTATTGCATAAAGAGCTTCGTAGCTTATTTAAAACACTCCTGATAGGCTTTATTCTTTGTAAGTAAGATGGTTAAGTGAAAAAGTAAGATTAACATTGCAGATTTAAAAGTAACATGACCAGTTAAGGATTAATGACTTAGTTCAAAAATTCCTCTTTAGGAACATTATAAAGATTTTACTCATGTTAGGTGTTACGCATAGGCCCTTTGCTCATGAAAGCAAAATCACTATAGAACTGATCTACGAAAGTTTAAAATCAGATTTAAATAGTTAAGGACACTGATCAAGAAACCCTCCTGCATTTTCTTGGTGGACCTTTTTTGAAGTATCTAGAAGGAAAAAAAAAACAACAAACACTGGAAAAATGGTGGTAAAATCTCAGCCTCATTCTACCTGAGCATGTTTTGCAGGATGGGGATACTGTTGTAAATAAGGTCATCCATATTTTATTTTGAACTAAAATTACATGAAATGCTGCAATGCTCCAATGGTATATGTCAAGCTGAAACTGGATTTTTAAGTCCATATTTTGGCCTGCTAACGCGTTGCTTGATTTCTAAATGAAAACTCTCAGATGCTCGAAAATTTGCATTATAAGTCAATTTAGAAGCCAGTTTTAGTCCCTTATGTTTGAATACACTAGCTATAATACACAACAGTTTTTAAAACAAACATGGAAGTAGTGCACAAAGATAAAGAACCTATTTCAGCTACAACACAACCCTCAAAAAAAAACCCCACCCAAAAAAATCCAAACTGAGTTTGCTTCTTGTACCTGATTATCAGGGAAACAATTTTTTACAGGTCCTACAAGTGTCTGATTTGCCTTTATGTCTCAAGGCTCGCCAAGTTACCGAACGTCCAGGAGAGGCATTAGCTAAGACAGTGATACAGCTTGAAGTGTATGTCAGCAGGATACCTCTGTCATCCATTGGCAAGTGAGGTTTTAGGGCAGTAGCGTATAAAGCTGATATGCTGTAGATCTTATATCTTTGACTGAAATAATTGCCAGGTACGAGCAACAGTTTTTAGTAGCCTGATCACTTTCTGAAATGGACAGTTGTTTTTCATAGATTCCCAGAACCTTTCAGGTCAGAAGAGACCTCAGGAGGTCTCTCATCTAACCTCCTGCTCAAAGCAAGGCCAGCTCTGAGGTCGGACCAGGTTGCTCAGTGTTTTATCCAATGGTGTCTTGAAAACCTTCAAGAATGGAGACGCGCAGCCTCCCCAGACAACCTGCTTCCTTCCAAAGGGGCAGGAAGGGGTGAAATGGTCCCTGCCGATCTAATGCAGGAGACAAAAGACATTTGAATTGGAAGTAAATTTTAAGATCTCAAGGTGATCTTTTTATCCTCATTACTCATTAAAATTGTGATTCACACTGATTAGTCCATATTGATACATAACTACAAATGAATTTATAGTTTCCAGGCCTCACGCTGCTTCCCTTCTCCCCATGAAAGGAAGGTGAAATTAAAGTGAAATGGATAAAGGCTCAATCAAGAAATAGTATTATATTAGTTCTAAGATAGCCGTACAAGTAGAGTCAGCAAATAACGGCTATCTTTATACTAATTTATTAGCTGTTTATGTGTAAATTACACATAACTATTGCTTAACTGTCATTTCCAAGACAGCAATGAAAACATAGCTCCTTTATGGAAGAGTAGATTTATCCCAGAAGATAACAAAAGATATCTGCATCTAATTCTTATACCAAAAGCTAGCATGGAAAATAAAAGCTACGCCAGCAGTTGTCAATCTGTCCCAAGTAACTGTTATACTCTATTCCTGACCAAAATAGCTGCCATACTGGAATGTGAAGAGTGCCTTTTCTGGGATTCAGAAGGTCTATCCATAGTTCTGTGATTAATACAAAGGAACTATAGCTTCTTAAATGAATAACCTTCAGTTAAAAAAGTAGGCATGCATTAACTATTTTGTGAAAACATGCCTTCTGCCTGCTTGGGCAGCCTTATTTTAAGGATATTCTGTGATGATAAACTATCTGTCTAGAGATCTACCACTGTTATAACTGATTTAAAAGCTCACAATGCTGTGATTCACATATTCATAAGGGTTTCTGACATTTTTAGATGACTTTGAGTACAGTCTGATAACTCAATAGTCCAATTTTAGAATGGCCCCCCCTGCCTAGCAGCATTCTCAGTGTTCAAATCTATGCCTGTCTTCACCTAACCAGACAGCTTCACAGAATAATAAAAACAAAATCCAAAGGAAATTTTATTTCTGAAATAAAGCCATTTCTTAAAAGTGGAAAATTTGTAGTTTTGACATTTTAAAAACGTGGTGTGTTCTTTAGCCCTCCCCTTGTATCCTCCGATTCAAGACACTCCAAAATGAATAGAGTTTTTTCACTCCAGTGTAAAAATGCCTTTCTAATCTTGGGTGGGCAATAAAATAAACCTGATTAAGATTTTACCAATGGAGTCCTAAAAGTGATACATGCAACACATCTGTGATTTTATCTTTCTGCATTCCTCCAAAATTGTTCATTAAATGAAAGTCTTTCATTGTCTGGTTGTTTTTCTTGAAGGGGAAAAACTAGGGCCTTTTGTGACATCAATGCTAATCTCAATGAAATATGCATATATTGCAGAAATAAACAGTATTACACGCAGTACTACTACTACATGCAGGCTTCAGAGACCTATTCCTAGCTATTATGCACAATTCTCACTGAAGCTAGTAGAGTGCTAAGTAAATGTCTTATGCAGGATGTAAAAATATACCTCTCATAGCAAGATTTATATGGGTCCCAAGATATAGACTGATGAAACAGGAATAGATGTCCTCTGTCTGGCCAGAGTAGTCACCAAGGCTTCAGTTTAATGTCATGTTCTGATTGATGGAGACATTTCAGTCCTCAACTGAGAGAAATACTAAACTGAGTCTTTTCTGTAGCTCAGAAGAAATAAATAGGTTTTGCATGCCAGCGTTATAAACAAGCTCAAATATGCACGGTTATTGTTGCTTAGGAAAGCAAGGGACTTTCCCCTGGTTATAAGAGGATTTTAACTGTCTCCTACAACACATGTATAGGACCCTCTTCCCACAGAGATAGGTGATCATTCCAACTGACTAGAAGAGATTTGTTAGTAAAAGAAACAGTGGACGAAATAGTATTGGCGACATTTAAGAGCCTAACCATACCACAGGACTGAATAAAAAAAGCAGGGAAATAATTACTTCTGAAATGCACTGAGTACTCATAATATGAAAATTAGGTGTTCTTAAGGTATTTCACAATGGATACCCACAAATAATGAGTTCCCTAAATAACTCATCACTTTGGAATTTTGAAAGTTCATACATAAAACTAGATGTCAGCGGCAGTAAACGCCCTTGCATCTGTTTTTACCGTCTATTCTTGGTCACATTCTGGTGACATTCACCAACTTTATAGTTTAATTGAAACTGAAGTTATGATTAGTGTATTTCCATGCAAATAAACAGAATTAGATCAGCAGTTAATTTTACTTATGTTTTATCAGGTCCATACGGGAATTACATCCCCTGTGTAATTCCCATGGCTGTAAACAGCCATATTTACATCCTAAAACCTAGAACTCTTCTGATCTTCTGTTCTGTAGCTATTTCATTTTTGCATTGCTTTCAGTGATGTGAAGCCAACCAAAATATTTTCAAGTATGTACCTGTGCATAGCACTTAACTGCTGTTTTCTATGATACTCTTGAGAAAGATCATTATACTTCTTGATGTGTAGCCTTCCAACTTGCGTGCTTTCTGAATTTCAAACATCGCTTTTGGGTGATTCCTAACGGCCTTTTTATATCAAGATAAGAGAAGCATGGATAATTATAATCTCAAAGGTATTGCTGGCTCAGATTTTCATTATTTCTGAAGATTACGTTCAAATAATGAATCTTAAAATCTACTGCTTTCTCCTCTGTTAGTCTTGACAAAGTGTTAATGAAAGCAATGAAAAGCCTTAGCAGTGAGGGGGTACAGCAGCATTCTCTCTTTCTAGTGATAGATGCTACCTTTCCCTATCAGTGGTCTTTCATTAGTCATGATTAAGAGCATAATAAAAGAGGTCTGTGATCCTGTGTTTTCACCAAGAAAAAAAAAAAAAAGTCTGTCATTCTCACCCAGTGCCACTAGACAAATATTTTCACTTTAAGATGGCAAAACCAGCACAAATGAAGCAACTGAAATACCTTTGTTCCAAAAGGATCTTTAGGTCACATATCCTAAATCTAAAACTTGGGTGTTTCCCAGCTCGGCTTTAATGTGAAAGATAAGCAAGAAGGCTATTCCTTTAAACACATCATGCTTTTCAATAGTCTCTGCCAAGCCAATCTCCTAAGAAGCTGAACACCTTAAATCAGAGAGAGTAATACAGAATAAAACCAAATTCATTTAAAAGAAAAAGAAGAGAGCTTTACAGATATACCTAGACTGAGATGAGAGAGCAGATGAAATAGTGGAAGCTGCTAATGACATGTTCTTGGACCCACGGAAAGGCTTAGGCTGTGAAAGAGAGCTGGGGGCTGCAGGCGCTCTGCAGAAGACACATGAAAGCATGCACAAAATAATTTAACAGGGACAAAAATAGTGACATCAGAGTCAAGCTTTGTCGGAGTTCAGATACAAGAGGACTGCTGCATAGTTATCGGGAACAGGTTTTCTGTGGCATACATCTGCAGACTTACAGAATAGCATAACCAAGTACATTCCTACAGAACACAAGACAACATGCACACATTATGTAGAAATCTTAAAACCAGAGTCTATCGATAACTAAGAAAGACAATATTTCAAGACAGGACTTTTGTCACGAGATGTGTTTTTATCTGCAAGATCTGAAGATGTTTGAGTCTGAATTCAAACTACACTTTTTAATAGGCAAGCAGTACCAGACAAACGATTCTCCTATTTAAAACACAGATCATTGGCATGATTAGTTTAGTAGAGGCATTTATTTTTGAAGCATATATTAGATAATCCATTTTCTTTGTGTTTCAACTGAGGGATAACAATTACTTAAACTGTACCATTATTTCATCAAATTGCCTTACAGGACAGTTCTGAATTACGGAATGATACCTTGACCTCCTTTGCTGGCTCGATGATTGATTTTCTTGCACTGGAATAAAAACATTGCAGTCCAGTAGGTTGCAGTTAGGTAAAAACTGACTAAAGTGAGAAACTAAATGGTTGGTATACCTGAATAATTTAAGTCAACTAGCAAAAATTAAACAAGAAATAAAGCCAAGAGAACATTCCCAATTCCATTTGTACATATCTAAGATATGACAGACTACATCTTAGGTCTCAATTACTTAAAGTACTTTACATTACCAGAAGTGTGTTTTTCCTTGGATTTTTAAAGCATGCTAAAATATACATCTTTTAGGAATATTCACGTAGAAGAAACGTAAGAGAAAAGAATAATATGCACGGAAGGAATTCACTCTTACTATCCCCAAAATTACTATAATGTAAGTGACAGCAGTATAAATTCCACACTTTTCTTCACAGACTGTCTGGCAACTTTTAATATAAAGCTGTAACTCCTACTGTGCTACAAGTGTTATGAATGCATACCTCCTTGAAACTCACTTTAGCTCTATAGCTAAATCTCATTAGAGAAAAGAGAGTAGATAAGTCTAATAGAAATTAATTGACTTAATACCTTACAGAGCAAGTCAATCATCAAATGCATGGTTTTATTGACATATTACTCATTGTCCACCATATTCTACTGACATCTGCTACAATATGGTAAGCTCAATCACACGAGTGAATGACATTTTCTAATTTTCCATTTCATGTCATACTGCAGAAACACTATTAAAAGAACCTTCATTCGACCACTGTAACTATTTTGAGGAGTTGGTTTAGTTTTATTACAAGTGGTGAAAAAACATTTCTAGTTTTAACCCTAGACTTGATTTCTGAACACGTTAACTGTACTGCAGACTTAAAGCTACTTTTTGTTATTTTTTAGGGCAGTTTTATTTTGCAAATTCTTTGCAAACATGAACAACTTACTTCAAAATAAGAAAACACACCAAAATATATAAAAGCATATAAAATAGGCTACAGCTTTTACATACTACATTCTTAAGCTAAGAATGTGTATGCAGCATTTCCAGAGCCATACAGGGGCGTATCTGCGAAAGGACAAAGCAAGGAAGCATTACCTTTGGAAGGAGGATGAGAAAGACTCTTGCGCTACTGAGGTGGTTGCTGGTGGTGTCATCAGACTGGCTGTATTTTGAGCAGCAGTAGCAGGCTGATGTGCTGAAGCATGTGATGCAGGAGCAGAGGCAGAACTGGTAGACACCGGAGCATGCTCAACAAGGGTACTAATTAGAGTTAAATTAAATAAAACAAGAAGCATATTAAGAAGGTGCGTATTTAAATGTAGAGCATAAAACCTACTATGTTTGAACCTGAAGCTGCAAACATAGTAGCAGGCTGTGTTACTGAGGGAAAAGCACAATTATGCAAAGAAAAAAAAAAAGACATCTGTTAGGCCTTTTCAGATGCACAGTTAAGACTGTAATGGAGTTTTGGTCCTGCTTGACTGAAATTTATCCCAGGTGTTATACAGCACTTTAAGTCCTGCTCCCACTGAAGCCAGCGGTAGGAAGCGTGGCACGCAGCACTTAAATGGTTGCAAAGAGCCTCTCACAAACTCTTTCAGCTCGGATAAATTTCACCCAATGTTTACTCCTGGAGCTGAAGTTTATGTTAGGAGTAAACATTTTAATTAGGTGAAGAAAAGCAATTTAAAGGATATTATCACAGTCTTGTATCAGCAGGTTTCCTGCAAGTTCTGATAGTCTAGAAATCCAGTCAGCACAGTTTTGTGTTGGGTTTAACCTGTTTTGTGCAATACAGGTAGTGTAAAGATGTTTAAAAGGAGTCCACTGATTGTCAGTTCATGTCTGACCTAAATTCACCTTACATTACACTGGCCAACCCATCAAACAAGAAGATGCTTTTTTACACATAGAACAGTACACAAAATACCAGGGGAAGATGTAGCATGAAGTTTTGCTACACCAGTTTTAAAGCCGCTTGGGTGATGAGCATGAGCTGTTATCCTTGTGGCCCTCTTGTGCTATTGTGGCACAGCTAACATGCAGCAGAGAAATACTAATGTTTAATTTATTTTTCTCTTTATTTGATTGCAAAATAGATTAATTGAAATGACTAATTTAGTCTTGTATCCTGTGGACATTTTAGTAACCTACTGAACTACTAGTGTCTTCCATCACCTGCTATCAGAGCACCCTGTGCTCATTAACATATTTTAGCCTTGCAGCCTCACTCAGATTTGGAAAGCATTACTCCTCGCTTACAGACAGACAAATGGGGCAGTTATCTATTAGACAGCTTTGCAAGATAGTGGAGTGGAAGGCATCCACTGCTAAGAAATGAACTAATCTTTTGGGAGGTTCAGTTTATGGTCTTCTGCTAGCTCTTACATCAAGGCGGGGCGGGGGGGAATCATTAAGTGGCCCTTGCAAGATTCACATTCTTTGCTGTTTCAATGAACTTGATATCAACAAAAGAATAATAATATGTACATTCATTATTCACTTGCCAATAAAGCTAACAAAAATCACTAGCTCATTTAAAATTAAAAAGGGTGGGGGAAGAGAAGCAAGAAAAGACAAGAGCTTCATTTTGGTTTTAGGCAGATTTTACTGTGGATTTTATTAATTATTAACCACAGAACAAATAAGCCACTGGAAAATAACTAATTGCAATTTGATTTTCCAGATTATTATAGTATTTTGGGGCACAAACTTCAGTGATAATATAAGCATATGTCCCCCAGGCATAAGGGACATTTTTCTGGATGCCATATTACTGTGCTGTAGATTCATTTTCTTTAGTAGTTATCCTAATACATCTATTTTTTTTTTTAAATCAGGGCATTATTGTGCATGACGTAGTTGTCTTGTCCACAAGCGGTGGTATAAGAACATAATGAATATATTTTTACTTCTTTTGACCTAACTCATAAGTGTATTGCCACATCTCCGGATTCTTACACATGACTCTTATCAGAGTGATGGAATTTGGCGATTCTCTTGTGCAATGCACAAAGCGTGCCCAAAATACTCTTTCCTGAGCACAGTTCCACAACTGTTTTTCAGCCAAAACTTAGCCCTCAAACATTTTTCTCTCAGCCTTTTTTCCTATGCGAATTTGCCATTGTGCAAATATTTTCTGTGTCTTTCAGCCATTCTATCTAATATTTTCTTTTGCCTCTCTCAGAAGCACTGATTCAACAAGTTATACTCCGCAGGATCTAGGATAAGCGCTTGGTACTTCAGCATTCATGATACCCCTTGCTCTGCAAGGGACTGTCCCATTTCCCCTGTCCTCCTCCTCTTCTCCACCTTCTTGTATGGTTTAGCGGTCTCAACGATGGTGCCTTATTTCGGCTAAACACTTTACTGTTTGATTAGCTAAAATGGAAGTGCTGTTGTTACGCCTACCAATTTCGAAGTTGAATGCAACCCATCACAAAAGCAGAAAATCAGCATTTTCTCCCTTATGAGTTTCATCTGCAATTATATATATAAAATGTGAGCTCCTGAAAATACCTTGTTTGCAATTCTGGTTTTCAAGTCATTACACCAAAAGTTTTGCAACAGTTTTGCAAAAGTTTGTCCATGATAATATGCATTTGAAATTCAGATCAGTTCTTTCATCTTGATGCATTTGCATTATAATGTAAATTCTTCTGTTGAGCTAATACAGTATCAATTACATAGACTATGTAGCAGAGGAGCTGTATATTCTACACCACAGCTATGGATCATGGGCTGGTCTGTTACTGAGTTTTAATACTGGCAGGATTTTTTTTTCTGCCCTGTGCAACAGTGGGTACAGTGGGAATTGTCACATTAAAAGGTGTTGAGTCAAAATGTAGTGCTTACACATCTTTGGTTTTGCAAACAGGAAAGGACTGAAACTATACTGCACGAAAAAATGGGACTTAATGCATGTCCTAAAACCAAATATAAACTAGGATTTCACCTATTTTGTCTTCCTATATTCACTGAAGTGAAAAGGAATTTGCTACAGATTTTAAAAGAATCAAGACATCATACCTTGAATAGAAGAAAACAGTGAAGTTACTTAATTGTTGTCACGATCTCCAAAATGTTAACCAAAACACATACTCAGTGATATATATTTAAAAGAAAGGAAAAAAAAAAAAAAATGTGTGGACACGGACCTGTGTGGAGACAGATTTGAACTGGACAAACACATATAAATAAAATAAATGCAAATATACTGGACTACCTTATAAAATTTAAAAGAAATGCAAACAAATTTTATCTTGCATGCTGTTTGTAATAGTTCTTTTTATATGATTAAAATGTTAGAGGCTTGACACCTTCCTGCAGGGTAGAACATATTAATTAACAGAGCAAACAATTGGAATAAATACAAATGAAGTAGATATAAACCTTAAAAATTAGGGTCATCTGGTTACATACAATATATGCAGCTGGTAACTAACTGTCCACTCAGTTTTATAGAAAGAAGTCAGACTAACTTGACTGGTTTTAGTTTAACCACTATAAATTTTAAGTATTTTTATTTAGATATTCAAATAAAATGACATCACTTCCCCCTCCCCCCCAAGATTGCCTCCTTTCTAGATTTTCAATCTGCAAGAATGCAGAAGAATTTTAAGAATGGATAAATATGAATGCTGCTTTATAAAAGAAATCATCTCTTATAACAACTTCATTATTACATATGTTACAGAGTTTTTTGATTTTTTTTTTGTAGTATAGTCATTCTGTATACTTTTAACAGTATTTTGCATTTTAAGGAAAATCAAAGGAAATGGATGTTCTCAAACATCTCCACATTTGTGGTAACAAATAAACATAAAATGCACAATGTGAGTAAGTTACATGGATGAAAACAAACACACATATCTCTTCTCAGCTGATTTTCACTCATGAAAAGAAAGACAGATCAGTAGAGGTTAAGAGGATAATAATAGTTAACCACCATAATGAGAAAACACAGCAACACACACACTCTAACATTTAAAAAATAAGTGCGGATTACACTTCTTTCTCTCAGTAAAGTCCTAAGTTCTGAGACTTTCTGTCCAAATAACAATTGAGTGGATTATCTAAGCAGTACTTAGTCTCCTTTATGTAACGCATGAAGTTCTTTTTGTTTCAACCCCTCCAACAGATCTCTTGTAAAGAATTGAAAATGTCAGGAACAAAAGTAAAAATGAATAGGCAAAACATTCTCTCTTCTTGTAGCGTTTGTAGGAAAAGAAGTGCTGGAGAAGGTGTTTAGAGAAAGACCTGACATGGAAGAGTTTTGCATTTGAATGTGGGAATGTTTGTAGAAGTACAGGGAATAGTACCAGCTGGTGTTTCTCTGCAGAAGGTGCTTAGTGACTGCTCTCTCTGTATCGCAGGCGGGATCCGTAGGAGTGCCGCTTAAAATGTAACACCCGCACCAACTAGAAGTCGCTGGAATTGGTAGAGCTTAGACACCTGCCTTTTAGGCAACGGGCATTTCCGTCTGAAGGTGTTAGAGGTTGTTATTACCAAACCATTCCAAAGCTCCAAACCAGGTCAGTTATGCAGTTACATGTCAGAGTGTACCTTTGAGTACTGGCTGAAGCAAGAGGGGCTTTGGGGCCAGCAGTGATGAAACTGGCCTCCCTCTGACTTGGACCCGCTCCCAGCCTCACGGCCCCCTTGGAGGCCACTGGCTTAGCATGGGCAGTGTTGGCATCCGTGGTGCATGATTTAGGAGGATGCCGAATACTTGAGGTCACATACTGTGGCGCATGTGGAGTAGCTGTCGGCCTGGGTAACAAAGATTACAAGGGGATTTGTAAATGAGGTGTTTATTATCATGTCGCCAAGTTCCTAGGTAATAGCAGGTATTTGAGGGAGAGACAGAATTCCGGCTGCAGAAGCAGCTGGTGGTTTAATAGAAAAACTAGTTTTTAGGGACACATGTGCTTCCTGTCTATCATACCACATAAAGCAGCACTTTACAATGCTAAAAACTGCTGTCTTAAAGTATTATGTATATGCAGTAAAGCCTTCAGGAAAAAAAAAAAAAAACAAACCACCAAACAACTAAAGTGCTGAACCTCATAACTGAAAAATAACTCATAACTGAAACAGCTAGGTTTAATAACAAAGGCTTTGTTTTTCTGTCTTTTCTTTTTCCTGGAAGAAGATTTATATCTGTAAATATCCATTGTCCTCTTTTTGTATCCCCAAATTCCTCATACCACACGAGATCATCAAGATATTGTAGGTAAAGTCATGACAAGTCTTGACCGTTTATTAGTTTATTACCGCTTAAGACCAGGGAAGGCTTTAAGAATTAAAAAGGTACCTTGTGTTAAATCTGGAAACCATATTGCTAGGAATATCACAGTAAAACACATAGCAGAGCTGTGATGATAATGGAGGTGGAGAAAAGCTATGGTATGACAAACCATGCAAGATTAAGGCAATGTAGTGTGACACTAACACCAGTCATACATCAGAAATTGTTCCTAATAAAATAAAATAATAATAATAAAGATATTTCAGTGGAGCAGTGCGTACTCCTATAGATGATTTATACAAATGAAACTGACAGTGAAATGCTAACATGTGTTACTTGTTTTTTCAATTTAATTTATATACAGTTGTTATACAGGAATCAAGGGATTTATTTCATTCTTTTGGCATAATTAATTTAAAAATAAAAATCAATTTTCCCTACTGTTCCAAGTGCCACTTGCCATTTCTTGTGTCATTAGTTGGATTTTAACTCTATGCAACCTTTGTTCAAATGTGAGCAGTCTTATAAAAAACAAAAATAAATGTGGTTGCACATTTTTTAGGTAGGAATTAACAAGACAGAGGAAAGCAGCGAGGCAGAATTCTTTTCATGACAAACGGATAAGAGGCATTTCTTTGCTCCATTAAACAATTGGTCAGATTCACTCAAGAAGTACCTGTGTTTCAGTACTTGTGTGTTTTAGTATACGAACTAATAGAAAACAATACATTTCTATACGTAACTGCCAATTGTGCTGAGATTCTTTGGGAGAAACAACTTTGGAAATGAAAGAACTTACTTAGAGAGATACTATGTTTTGAACCTCATAACCCATCGAGGATCAATAAAGATATGCAAGAATCTGGTAATGTAAGTGTTCTTAAAATACCAAAAAGATAATTTTATTGAGATTTTTAAAACTTCTTGAACCATCTAGACAAAGTTTAAAATGGAAATTGTTCTTAAAACGCCATCATAAACTGACAATACTCCATCTCAAGAACATTTGATAAAAGCTGCTTATTTTTCAGGTTTATAAGTTCTGAGAAACATGATCCCCGCCTGCCGCATCTCACAGAGCTTTTTGAAGTCTACATTAGAAAGAAATGTCTAACAAACCTACTTAGTTGAAACCTCTGCATTCATCATCTGCTCAAACGGTGTACAAGTTTCATGTTTTTGAGGTAAGAACGATATGGGGAAAGTTGAGGTAAACTCTGAGTAAGAGGGAAGCCAAACACACAGAGCAAACGTTACCTGTTTTGTGATGCTGCTGCAACATTTTCCTTGTCTCTGTGGAAGGAGGGGATACAGTATGAATAAAGTAAATGCAATCGCCAGTGGTGGCAAAAAAAAACCAACAGGGAGAACGAAGATGCGTTGAGAAGAAATGTTTGGTTGCAAAAAGCATCCTAGAGTGGTTGCTCATAAGTATAGTTGTGAGAAACCTCTTCAGCTCTCCCAGTGAAACCCACCAAATATGCAAGATTACTGCATGCTTCTTCTCAATTGCAAACAACTTTGTTTCAATATTAAAGTAAAATGAAGGAAAATTAACAGTTACAAATGAGACACTGTATGTATGTATATAATTTCAGGCATAGTTTTAACTTTCGTAAGTTCCCTCGTGAAAGAAAATTTCAGTAATACCCCAGTGGAACATATTCTGATGCCAACTCCAAACGATAAAAATAATCAGATTTGGGCAGTCCCAAAATTCCAATATTTTGAAGTGATAAGCAGTTAAATGGCTAACAGACTCATACAAGATGGCATCACTTAAAAATTCTCTGTCCTACCCAAGTAACTACTAGCTTTCTCAGTCTAAGTTGGATTAGAAACAAGTGGAATCATTCCTTCACTGAGGTGAGGAGTAAGGCAGCCTCAATTTCAGCGACAGAGAATCAGGCTGTTATTCTGTAAACACACATACACGCTTACAAAAATAACTGATCAGTTTAAGTGCAAGCAATTGTGTAGCTACATAAGAAGTTAAGACACGGGTATTTTCAGAGTCCTTTAGCCTTAGACTCCCAAGTTTGAAATCCAATTAAGTAATTGAGAGAGTCTTAATATTTAGCAATTTAGTGAGTGGTTGCGTCCTTTCCTATTTAAGGAATTGTGCTGGAATTGCAACACGCTTAAAGTTGAAATATGCCAAATGAGAACATTTTTCTTAACTGGGATCTAGAATTACAACACACAAAGCAAATGTCCTCATTTACCCAACTGAAGAGTCCTTCAAAAAAAAAAAGGAATACACATTTATCTATGTGGATTTGTTGGGCTCCAATCATTATCTTACATTATGTTTGGAAGGCTATTCTTAATATTTTCCACATTATTAGTAGTATTTCATATATTTCTCTCTGTGTTTATGTATGTACACGTACATATATACATACAGTCACGTGCTCTTTCCTTAGTTTAGCTCCAATAAAGTTATCAAAACCAGTCCAGTTTACATCAGCAAAGGTTTGGGCACAGACATTCTCTGCCAATTCTTAAAACCTCTAACTAAAAATGTAACCCCTAAAATATATAAATTGAAGCCAGATTTTCAAACCCAGAAGTAGATCTGATGTGACCCTCAGATGTGGCTGTCTGACTAAGAATGTTATTATGGTCAGGATGGAAAAACCTGTCTTGAAAGTAAATACCCCAATAAGGTCAATTGGTTCACCACTCTAAAGCAATGAGAAACCAAACACTGTCTTTATGGTAACCAAGCCGTGAATTCCTGGAACGTCAGGTACACGAAAGCCAGAATGAAACAAGGTAGAGGAGGATGGATTAGAAACTGTGCGCGTGGGTGGGGGAAGCGTTAGTACACCAAGAGCCATAATCATGCAAGAGTGTTAAAAAACAGTCACAGCCTGAAAAGAATAAAGCATTGTTTATTTCCAGCGTTACCAAATATTCTGCGAGAATTTGTAGTCAAGACCAAGAGGCAGGCAGTTGGGGTCAGGCAGAAGCAGCGTTAGGCCTCTGTTGCTACTATTAATCTGATCCAAACTTTTCTGCACCACTAGCTGTGGCTGTACTGAAGAATGCAGAAAAATGTCACTTGACTTTGAGGTCAGGATTTCACAAAAGTTTTTTCCATGAGCGTACAAGTATAAGACAACATTGAGTGACAATGGCAGGGGAGTTGTGAAGTTTGAGAGAGAGAAGTATAGTAAACGTACTTCCACAGAATAAAGCACAGGAAAAGACAGAGAGTAAAGGGAAAGATGAGCTCAAAGGCACACAATACTTCTTCACAGTTTTGCTTCCAGGAACTATTTCTCTTCCCAGTCAACAGGAGTAATTCCTGTTTGGCTAACAGCGAGGAAGGCTCACAATCAGATGTGCCCCTTATTGGCAATACTTGCATTTTGAGGAACAGACTATTGGATTTCCAGCCTTTGCAATCAAAACATTTTTTTTTTTTAACTAAATGCAGAATTAATTTTACTTTTGAGTCAAATACATCCCTGGGGCAGGCTCAGTGAAGCCAATACCTCCACAACATGAAAGAATTTGGCTCAGAATATTATGAACAGTTTGAATCTCTGTGGCTCCTCAGGCTGCTCAAAAAACTGACAGTAGTGGAGAGTAGCTTTGAGCTGTCTGGGAGAGATGTAATGTTAATGTTTTTTTGTCTGCTGCCCTTTTAGTCCCCAGCTGAAATGGCTTTTGATAGAAGGGCCATAGTCGATGACTGTTCTGAGAGAACAGTGCAACTCCCACAGATTTTATTACATATTGGACATATATCTCAAACAATTTATTTATGCAATATACTGTCTTCCCAATTACACAGTATATTATACAATGGAAATTATGAAATGTTTCCTTATAAAAATATGCTACATGATATGGTCATAAAGACAGAGTGAATTAAATGACAGAAATAGAGTCTTTCCTTCCCACACACTAGCAAGAATTATAATAGCTTGAGTAATGAAATGTCTAATTTGTTTTGCAAGCCAGGCTTGTGTATGCTGTTGGATCCTAAAAAGAGTCTGAAGAAACTTCAGAGAGTTTCCAATAAACGAGTCTGTTGAATCCAAACAGTATGTACTGGACATTGGAATACTTTCCCGTTCTAGTTTATTTTTGGAAACCAAATGTAAACGATTCCCAAACAAACATGTACATGTAACAGGTGACCCGAGATGTGGAGCTTGTGCACCTTGCATCTACCTTCTCCTTAGAGAATAACAGATCCAGACTCTCTCTTGAATAGCTCCTCTCTGTTCCATTAAAATGTTGTAGACACAGAATCATTTAATCAGTAATGAAGATCTGATGACATAAGGAACATTAGGCATCCTGAGAGACCACACAGTCCTTCAACTCTTCTCTGTCTTTCAGTACTGAAGCAGTAAGTGAATACTATAATGGATTTTTTTTTCTCCGTATTCTCATGGAGCAACACAGTATTTTTCTCATTTTAGAAATGAGGAACTAAACCCTAATAGAATTGCTCATGGTCAAAAAGAAGGTCCATGGCAGGGCCAAGAACTGAAAGAAGCTCTCCTGGATCCCAACTGAGTATTTAAAATATCAGCTCACCCTCTTTAAGAAGAGATTATGGGTTTTTTAAAATAAATATTACTATTCAGTTTATCAGTATTTTTCCTGTATTGATCATCCAATAGTCTTCTATCAAACCTGAGATATATACTGGTCTTTTTTCAAAGAGGAAATAGTTATTAAGACTTACAGATTATTAGGGTCTATATCTACTGAAATTAAAAATTCTGTTTTTCTAGTAGTATATTATGGATTTGCAGGACTTGTCCTTATTAGAGTTATAATAGCTTTCATCCTAACATGTACTTAAATTTACATAAACATATTTGCCTACAAAAAAATTTTCCTTTTAAGAAGTCACAAAGTAATTTAAAACAAAAATTCTTACAGGGTGTCTGAGAATCAAGTTGTGTGAAAGCTATTTCATTATTGCCTTCCAAACATTTTTGTCTCAACGCCATGAGATACTGACCCTGTTGGAAACTGGACATTGAGCTAGATTAACTGCTGTTCTGATCCCATGAGGCTATTCTACCTTTCTGTGTTTGCAGCTGAGAGTTTTTCCATGGTCAGATGCATATAAAAGTATTGAGATTGACTGTCTTTTTTTTTTCCCCCCCAAGTTATATTTTTGTTATCTTAACAAAGACACCATTAAGACACACACAGAAATCATAGGCAGTTAACTGGAGAGGACAGAAGACAGCTATCATGCTGATTTAGTTAAAACTTTAGCTTGGGATCAGAAAAAAAGGGGTAGAAGAAGAGCTAGTCTCTCTTTTTCAGCCACCGTAGTTAAGAATGCGAGCAGCCCACGCCAAAACGATCGCAATATATCCTGCTAGTACATCTGCTTTCCAAAACAGGGAAATACATTTCTCCCAGAAGGTATCCCGGTTTGTGCAGACAGTGCCACAGAATAGGAAAAGCATTATCCTATATTCAGTGGAAGAAAAAACAACCAGCAATTCATTCTCAACAAGTGGTATGGAACTCAATCAAAGCAGCTCAGTAAAATCAAAGCAAATACCTCCTATGGATGCATTTTAGTGGCATCTACTAGTATGTTGTTATATTTAACAGCCAAATAATAAATGCAGCTAGAACTATAGCAGCATCAGTGTTGGTGAAAGTTAAGATAACTCTTTTCCAGGATTTGCATAGTGATTATTTGGCATGCAAGCATATGTACTCCAATTTATCTTATTGGTAAACACATCACCTTAATAAGAACAAAGATGGCAAAGTTCTGAGTATGTGGAGCAATTTGAGCTGGGATATATTTCAGATAATTACTCCTTATCTTAGCCTTAACTGTGCAGTTGGATTTATCCGAACGGTTCCCTCCAGCTTTTTATAGCCCCCCGGTAAAGCACAGGTATTTGCCAGCAGGCACCTGAACACAGGATCAGGACTTTCAGTTTGTATTTGTGACCATTATAGACAAAACCAATGCACAACAAGTTTAGGTACTGGACACCAGGAAATTATTCCCCGTTCACTGGAGTGTTCTTTCTCATCATGACTTCACTTTTCTCCAGGGAAGCTGTGAGAAGAACAAGAACCCATAGATCTCAATTTCAGCTGGCAGTTTTTTAGAGCTACTTTTTAATTTGTGCACATCGATGATTAGAAAATTCATACTTTCTCTACATGGTATTATCCTAAGTTTGAAGCTGCATCTGAAATATACTAATGCATCTTTTCTATTCAGTTCCTGAACCACATAAGTAAGCAGTATGAATTAAAGCAGTTGTCATTCTTTTAGAATG